AAAACTGATGTTGCCACTTCCAGAAGAGCAGGGAGTATCCAGGGAAAATGCAGGTACTGCCTGCACTTCTGCTCTGCCTGCCACACCACTCCAAATACAGCTGGCCAGCAGAAGATCTTGGTCCATTAAGTGTTTTGCAGCTCATGTCTGTGGCAGCCCTGTGTTTCCTTAGCTGTGCTCGTCTTCCTCCTCTCATGAACTTCCCTGTGAGGCCAATGTCCTCCTTCCCTGCACAAGCATTCACAGCTGATGTGGGGATGACACATCTGCCTGTCAAGCCTCTGGACCTTGGGACTCTCCTGAGTTATTGCAGCTAGTCAGTTTATTCTGAATATGAAAAACAGATTCCTGCAGGGAATTTGGGGTTCAGAATTCTTCCTTTCTTTAATTTATTTTTCTTTAAGTAAATTGAGGGAACTTCAGCTCTTTCACTGACAGGAAATGCTGAAGGATATATCTCAAATCATTTGCTCAGATCTCCAGGGTACGGGGGTTTATGAAAGGCTTTTGCTATAGACTCTCCACCAGCTCTGGGAAACATCTGTTCTGCATTCTGAATGCATTTTCCCAGCAGAAATTGTTTTAATAAAATCATCACTTTTTCTGTGCTTAGAAAACCCAGTGAAAAAAAGTTTTTCCTATGCTAAACAGTTCTTGACCACTGGTTAATGAAGTTAAAAACTGCTTGACTTATCCTGTTTTTCCAGGAGCTTCTCTGATGGTCATAATATGACAGAACTCACCAGAAATGAAACTCTGAAGAACGGCTGGCGTTTAATGTTAACTGCACTGCTTGGTTTTGTTGGTGTTTCATTGCAGTCTCTGTTTGAAATCCAGTCTCTAAGCCATGGCGTGTGAATAGCCTGTATATTGAGTGAGACTATGAAAGCAGGGTGTTCTAAGGCATAGGTAGGGGAGGTGAAATTGTTAATAATTTTTCACAAGTACTTTTTTTTTTATCACTGCCTTGTGACCCAGCTCTGAAATGGCCTTTTCTCCACAGTAAGATACATTAGAAAAAGTCTTGCTGCAGTTCGATTCACCTGAGAGCAAATAATTATGTGCACAGCCAAATTACTCTCTGCTAAATCAGAAGAACTGGAAAATCTGTCAAAATCCTCAGTGGTCACTGTGAACTCCTTTGTCCTCAGCATATGGGTGGTAGCTACCTTCAAAGTTCAGCTGTGGAACCCTTTCCCTGTGTGGACGGCAACCAGGAAAGGGAAAGGAAAACTCCATGAACATGAAGAGATTCTTCATTGGTCTGGAGAGGAAAAGTTATCCTGACTTGGACCTGTTCCAAAAGTGGTTTTGATTTTAATGGGAACTTTTACAGTTTGGAAAAAAGGGAGGTGTTAAAAGCTTCATCCCATCCAATTTCCCATGTAAGAATATTCCATGTTCTCAGACTGCAATTTTTTGGACAACTACAATTCCTATTGTCACTAGTTGGGTTTTAGACTAACATTAGAGATAGGCATCATTTGAAAATGAAGCTTGACTCAGGCTAGACTGATGTTTCTCCTTTGCTTTCAGTTGGGTAACTCATCTTGCCTCAGAGTAGTGTTTCTGATGAAAGCTCAAAGACGGATGGTGCTAAAATGTTTTGGAAGTCAGCTGCCCCTCAAGCAGCTTTGAAATCTTAAATGGGCCCGATAGGAGGCTGGTAGGTATTTCTGGGCAAACTACATGCATTCTGGTTCACCAGCAGGCTGCTTCACTGCTTTGCCTGGCTTTCCTCTCCTTTTTTCGGACAAGAGCCCCTTCATGGTCCATAAACAAGTGGAAAAAGCACAGAAGCTTTAGTTAGCAAGAGATGTGATTGTCCCCTTCTTGGTGATTCAGACTACCTGGGCTTAAGCAAAAAAAACCAAACCAGAACATGCACAGCAATAAATACCTTCAATCCTAAATTGCATCTTGGAGAAGACACTTTTTCAGGTCTGGTATATTATTACTTCTCCCAGTCCCACCCTCTGTCATTGGAAGTAAGGGTGCTGGATGGAGTCTGCTTCCTGCTCTTCCTTCAGGTTGCACATCTTTTGCCTGTGCTCGTGGTGCAAGGGAACTGCAAACAGAATAGTTTTGGTGGCATGCTTTGTGCACTCTCTTAATATCTTGTCCTTTATTCTGGTTTCAGCTGAACAACTTGGACTTCATTTAACAAAATTGGATTTTCGTTTTCCTCTCTGGGGAGAGTGAGAGAAACTGCTTTCTTCTCAGCAATGCCCCAGCCTGCTGCTTTCTGCTTCGCTGGACCCTTACTTACAACCTCAGGCTGCTTCTAGTTCCTCAAACAGTTTATACACCTGTTCTTCAGCCATGCTTGCAGACATGGTGGATTTATCTCAGATTTGTGGTGCTTTCAAGCTACTGGGTATTTCCTTCAGTTAGCCAAACTCCCTTGGCAGTGCTGGTCTGTGATAAATAGAAAAACAAGTTATTGTACAAGTGCACTGTAGGTAGAAGATGAAATATTCCCCCGCCTGGGTAGAGAATCTTTGTGTCTCTGCCAGGTCATGCACAGAAATGAAGTTACCTAGTTAGGGAGTCCAGCAGTGTTCTGCTGGGGTTGCAGCTGTTAAGTAGGACAAATTATTAGGAAGAATTGAATTACAAAAATGTGGAGGTTAAGAAGATTTAGGAGATCTGGTACAGCTCTCTGCATGGAGACATGACCTAACAAGTTCTCCATCTTCAACTGGTTGTGGAAGAAGCAAACAAAACTCAGTCAGGCTGAAGAAAGATAAGTGCTGGTCTAGCACAGCAGTATGTGGAAAGTGTTGAAAGTGATCTTGGGAGGCTTGTTAACTGCTGGGTATCCATTAAAGTCAATGTCATGTCTTTGTGGAATACCAGGCCTGCTTTTATTGGCTTTCCACAGAGCACGATGTCAAACTGAAAATCTTCCTTCTCCTCTTCAGTGTTTCCAATGATAATGGGCTTCAGTACATACATGGGCATTTCATGCTCTGGGGCAGCAACACTGGAATATGTTCTTCTTTTGGATGTGACAGAATAGTCTGACAGAGAGGTACAACTTCAGGAATGTGTTGAGGGGACAACAGGAGCTACACATTACCTACAACCTGTGTGCAGCTGCTTTCAGATACAAGGTGCATTTCTTGACTTCCTTATTTATTGTTAATGGCATGTCAGTTCTTCTGAGATCCTACCTTAGCCCTCTCTGGGAAAGAATCAGAAGAGGACAAAATGTCTGCCAAGTCACTTCAGTTTTTGGCATATCTTTAGGCATCATGATGATAGGAAATGTCTAAAAACTCAAGTGAATCAGAAAAGGATCTTCTAAAATGGTCACATGGGACACAGCGCCATAGATGCTCCCTGTGTGTATGAGTGAAATTAGAGTTTGAAAATATCTGGTATATGTGCAGCCCCATATCTGGCCTGTGTGTAGTGTTCTCCTTTTTCATGAGCTACAATAAGACAAAATATGCAAAGATGTTGTAGATTTCATTAGTCACACTAGTTTATTCAAACCTCCTCTTTGCATAAGAAACCAAGGCCTGCAGTGCTCTCTGGGAAAGAATGTGCTGGGAGCTCGGGAAAGCCGAGTGCGGGAATGGCGCTGCGGCACAGCAGAGGTCAGCAGCCCGGGCACGGCACAGGGGCCAGCTCTAGGCTTTGGTGCCATCATTTGCAATTCAATCCCATGCAGCTCCCTCCTAGGAGAACAATTCACTAAATACAGAGTTGTTCTTTTTCCCTAATTCGCCATATAATTCACCTCCTAAGTTCAATTAAGAAGCAATCTGTTTGTGACTGGAAGCAAGCTGCATTTATTTAGAAATACAAAATTATCCTTTGCCTCAGCAAAGACTGCATGCCTTAATAATTCTGGTGTTGAATGGCTAGTTAGGGTTTCCTTTAAATGGAATGAGATATTGTGTGAAGAATAGCATACTTTGCAGGGTGGGGGTGGGAGAAGTCCTGGGGATGCAAAACTGAGAAGAGGAACTTTTGTTGAGCTTGGGCTTAAGGAAGTGAGGAGGACTGGGCATGAAAGAAAACAAAGGGAAATCTTAGGATGGGACATTGAAGCTGGAAAAGAGTGATAGAGTTCAGAGCAATCCATCTTGTTGAATCAGGCTTGTTCCTGTTCACACATATAGTGGCTTTTGTCCAGCCAAGCTCTGTTAAACTATGGGACTTCCTTTGGGAGACAAACCCCTGATTTACTGTGTCTCTTGGACCAGGAAGCTCTAACCTATAGCCAGCTGAGAGTCTGGGTATTTTATTTTCTTCTGAATTGTTTTGTAGATATCTTTCATCATAATTTTCCTGATACTCATATCAGTTACAGTAGTATAATGTTGCAGATTTGTTACCATCCTCTCAGTCCTTCTCCAAGGTGCCAGAGGTACACCTTTCCCCCTGTCCTTCCCCGTTGGACAGGCTAGAGAAGGATTTGCTAGAAGCCAGCTCCAGAGCAAAGGAGAGTTTTCCAGCTGGCAAAGCAAGAGTGCTTCAGTGACTGGAAGATGTCCAGCTGTCTTGAAAGTGAGACATCTCTCTTGGAAGTGTCCACACTGCATCCAGCAGTTCTGTATCACCCACAGTGTATTCTTTTCTGCATGTGGTGGTTTACCATGCTCTTCATGCTTTATCTTGCCACCAAGACACAGAAACTTGCTCTTGCAATGCCTCTACAGAGATCAGCTCCTTCAGCTCCTGCTCTCATTAAATCTCCGTGAAATTAGCCTTCCCCAGAAAAACCATTCTGCCTATTGAGCATATGGAGAGACTTAGGTGTGGAATGGTAATGAGTTGCAAGGTGTGACTGTAGGCTAGGAACAAATCCAGGAGAAGTGCCTAGCTTTATCAAGGGTTTAGTCTCTGCTTCTTGAACAGGGAAAGCAGACAATTTCTATGGCCAGCAGACCCTCAACTGGCATTACTGATAGCTGCTGTCCTTTCCACATCAGAGCTCTGCCAGCCAGCTCACCAGAGATGAGTCTCTGCTCTTTTTTCCTTTGCAGGCGGCCTGGGAGAAGAGGTGTCAAGTGAAAATGCCACTTCAACCAACTACAGTGACAAAGCAGTTAAAAAGGGTAATGTGGTACCCCACCCAGACCCTTGGGTATCTTTTATTTACTTTTTTTATCCCTTGCGAAAACACATTTTTGTACTGTTTTGTACACGTGTGTGCCTCAGTGCCTGGGAGATCAGCCCTGCCCAGGCATTTTTCCGTGGGTGAACTCTGTGCAAGGGTGGGTTTGCTTTGAATAATGTGGTTGGTTGACCCCAGCCAGAAGCCAAGCACCCAGTCACTATTCCCATCCTCCAGCAGGAGAGGTGAGAAAGCAGGAAAAGCAAGAGTGAGAAATCCCATTGATTGAGATAAAGATAGTTTAATAAGTGAATGAAAGGGGAAAAAATAACCAAAGTGATATAAAGGCAACTGCTCACCCCCACCCACAAGCAGCCCTTGCTAGAAGAATGTGTCAGGCCTCTCCAGGGAGGAGAATTTAACAAATTTCAGTTGTTAAAGGCAGAAAACTATAGCAGGAGTTAGGAGCAGTCAAGAGCTTTTGCAGGACTGGTGAGGAGAATTTGCCCAAGAGTGTGTGCTGCTGGCAAGGAATGTAGGCTCTGGTGGCACAGAAGTCTCTGGAACCAGAGTCTCTGTGCAGAGCTGCTGCTGCACCAGGCACAGGGCAGACACCTCCTCACGTGGTTTGCACTCAGAAGCTGTCCATGTGCAAAACCACAGAGATTTTGGGCAGTGCCAGGAGCAGTTTGTGAATAGAAGACAAGATTATTCTATCTTGAGACTCTCTCTCTTCTAGCTGTGGCCCTTTTAATGGCAGTGCCTGTGCTGGTGCCTGGCACCAGCAGCACCAGGTGTATGCAGGAGGGTGGTTCTTCCTGTGTTGGGAGAACCCCCAAGCTCAGAGCATCTGCCTTCCAGGATCCAGCAGCTGGCTTGGGGATGGGGCAGTTTCTGAAATGCCAGGAAGGTGCTTAGGAGTAAGAGGAACAAAAGGCAAATTCCTGTTTTTGTCCTGCAGCTCAGAGCAAGGTCTTCAGCAGGAAGGGCTTGACCTGGTGAAGCAGGAGGGAGGGTTTAAAGTTCATTCTTTTCATTCCCCTACACTGCCTGAATTTCCTTCCCATTGTATTGATCCCCTCAGCCTTGACAGTAGTGGTTTGCTTAGTGGTGCTTCAGCTGGAGGGATGAATAGGGGAGGAGGCTCCCAGCAGCCCCCCTGGTCACTAGAGGAAGGTCTTAGCAGGACCTGTGCTTTTTAGTAACCCAGCAGCCCATGTCCCTGACACGGAAAGCAAAGCTGTGGCTGGTCTTGCTGATTTACATACAAATTGCCATCCTCTCCGGCTTCACAGCAGTCCACTGGTGAGCCACCACCAGCACTGCTGCTCCTCAAGGTGACAAGGATGTTCACCTTGGTGTGACCCTTTAGGCCAGCACTCTCTGAAGGCATAGCAACCCCTGGGCTCTGTTATTCCTTTGCCCCAGTCCAGCTGATGAGTTGGCTGTGCAACACAGGGAACTTACCTAACAAGTGGTGACTGCACAGAGGTTTGTAAAGCCCAGCTGGACTGCGGCTGCTTTGAGGGTTTGAGTGGCCCCTGGCACCTCAATTAGGGGATGAACAACCAGGAAGCTTTGAGTAAAGGTGTCAGACTCACACCACATTAAAAATGTAATTCATGTAGGCATAATCAGTATCTGAGCAGAGCTGCAGCAGCACAGATGCAGGGCAAGGTTCCGGGTCTGCCTAGAAGCCTGTATGCATCCTCTTGCAGGTTTTAAGGCCAGTGCTGAAACACTATGCAGCCAGGGCTCCTCTACCCTTTGTAACAAGAAATGAGATGTGTTCTGCTTTCCCTTTTGTATTTTTCCTCCTTTTCATTAAAATGAAGAGATTCAACATGGATGTTTTTCCATCCTGAGCATCCCTCCTCCAGCAGAGGCTGTCCCGTCTTCGTAGATTTCCAAACCACTCAAGACCTGGTGTGTGAAACTAAAGTAATGCTTTTCAGCCTTGAGTACAGATTTCAGATTTAGTCTGTCACCTTCTTCCAAGGCCAGCTCAAAAGAGTAGTTGTTGCTGTGAAGCTATTCCTAATGGAACAAACCATTCTCTGCAGATGAGTGGATAAGTAGGGCAAGCTGAGAATATACAGTGACATCTAGACTTGTTTGATTCCCACCTCCTTTCCCCTTGTTTAAGTACTGTGTCCCCACCTGTGAAGTTGCTGTTGCAGAGAGTGAGTGGCTAGAGACAGGGAAGGATGTGCTTTTACATCCTAGTAGTGGGAGAACAACTTTGGCATGGTGCATATGGAGGCTCCAAAACAAGAAGGGTCAGTTTTCTATAGATTAGCAGTCTCAAAGTCCAGTCCCAAAAAATCACAGGCAAATCTGTCTATGACTTCTGGTTTGGTTTAACACCTTGCTTTTTCTTTTTATCTTTTTCTGAAGCTCCAGGGTATTACCTGAGGGCTGCACGTGGAACTAAAGAGGATTTAAACAGTGTTGCCACTCTGTCTTGCAGACGGCAGGCAGAACACAACGCTTGCAAGGAGCCCGAGGAGGAAGGAATCTAAAGATGAGTCTGGGATGGACACGCCCTTCTCTGCCAGAGTGCGCAGGGCAACCACGTCCAGGGCCGAGAGGATCTGGCCAGGGGGGGTCATCCCCTATGTGATCGGAGGAAATTTCACTGGTCAGTAGTGAAAACACTGCTTTCTGTCTGCCATGGGGTTTGTGGCTCAAACTTTTGTGTGGGAAATCTCTGGAGCAGAGTTCTCCCACAAATGACTCAGGTCCGTGGGAATCTGTCTCCTCGGGTAGGGTGGGCATGCCATTGCACAAGGAACTGTGCACTGTGGAAGCTGAGGTGTGCAGTGGCATGGTTCTCTTGGAGTCCAAGAAATACTTGAGTGACCGAGTCACTTTTCTTTAGGGGCCAGCACCTGTGAGCTGTGCTTGCCCCCTTTTTTCCAGAAGAGAATCCTCTCTGCTGTTGGGAGAGCAGGAGCAGAAGTACTCTGGGTTCCTGAGAGCAGCTTTGCCTTAGTTTTGAGGAGCATTTGTAGCACTCATGAGATTCCTGGGTCTTGAAAGATGTCCATGGTCATTACTTCATGTCATGAGAGCAAATTTGGCACATCACTTAGTAGCTGATGTTCAGCTCAGAACACCTAGCAGCTCTGCCAGAATGGCCTATGCCTAGAGAGGTGACGTGTTTTATATTCACAAATATTGATGTAATTAATCTGTAAAATTTGCTACATGTTTAACTAGAGCACTAGATTCATCAAGCGCAGGGAGACAAAAGATGATACAGGAAGATAATGCTGTAGGTGGAAGTGGGCCCCAGAGTCCAAGAGGTGTCTACAGGCATAAAATTGGCTGTTTGAAAGGTTGACTGTTCCCATATCCAGATGAAGTCCTTCAGAGATTCTCTTGAAAGCCATTCACTGTTTGCCCCTCTTAATTTCTTTTCCAGGAACCCAAAGAGCTATCTTTAAGCAAGCAATGAGGCACTGGGAGAAGCACACTTGTGTGACCTTTGTGGAGAGAACTGATGAAGAGAGCTTCATTGTGTTCACATACAGAACATGTGGGTAAGTGATGCACACATTCCCTGCAGTTCTCTACTGCAAAGAGAGCTTTCAGTGACATGTGGCTTTGTAAGTCTAGCCCAGAACAGGCCAATGGCTACACTGGAGAATCTGTCAGAGATGCAGCTGATCACCTTCAGTGAGGATTGCTAGGATAGTTTAGTATTTGCTCAGAAGATGGTAAGCCTTCTGGATTCGTTTTTCCTGGGATCATACTTAAGTGTACATGTGTGTGTTTATAGATATGGACTTTTTTCTTTATATTTTCTTTGTTCTTACAGGTAAGTACATACAGTGTTTGCAACTACTGCCTGTCCTGAACTCTGCCAGATGCCATCCTCTCTTCCTATATTTTAGAATTCCTCAAGTCACTGAGGTGCTGCATGGGTTTATGGGTTTTCTTTTCCAGGTGTTGCTCGTACGTGGGTCGCCGAGGAGGGGGCCCTCAGGCTATATCCATTGGAAAGAACTGTGACAAGTTTGGGATTGTGGCTCATGAGCTGGGTCATGTGGTGGGTTTCTGGCATGAGCACACACGGCCTGACAGGGACCAGCATGTCACTATCATCAGAGAGAACATACAGCAAGGTAAACTCACACTTCAGATTATTCCACCTGGCTTTTGGCTAGATTGAAACATTTCTTGCTATACTTGTGGAAAGTGATGGTGGTCTGAGGGTTGGGATGGAGAAGAAATATTGCTGTCCTTGTCTAGAATAAATAGCTATATGAATAGATATTTTAGATGTCCAGCTGAAATTGTTGAAACATAAGAGCATATCCATTTAATTCTAGGCTCACACAGGCAGATATCTTCTTTTCTTCTTTCTCTAAGAGTGGTTTGTTTCTTTTCCTTTTTGTTTGTCATCACAGGTCAGGAGTACAACTTTTTAAAAATGGAAGCTGGGGAAGTGAACTCACTTGGAGAGACCTATGACTTTGACAGCATCATGCACTATGCTAGGAACACGTTCTCCAGGTGATAATTCAAGGTTACATGACCTTAGGAATATGTTTGGTTGTTGTAGTTGACTCTGTGGGCTATATAGAGCCTAGCAGGAGACCTCTGATCCATTGCTGCATTGCAAGGCTTGAAAAATATTTGAAAAAGCAAGGTGGGTATAGTGTGGTGGACTCCTGTTTTCCCCATTCCACTATATTTACTCCATCATAATACTGGTAATCTCAGAGAGTTTCCAAAGCCTTGCTAACATTGCAGCCTTCCCAGGCAGAACATGTATATCTGTGTGCATATCTGCCCATGTGCAATACCAAAACAAGGTTTGAATCTCTTAGTTGCCCAGCTTATGCTTCAGAGTCACAATATAGCCATCAGAGTCTCTAGTGGTTGTGCCAAGGGAGAGTTTAACTCTAGATCATGATCTTTAATTACTTGGGTGTTTTCTTTAGCCATTTATGATGAGCTTTCTATCATGGCATCTATGTGGTTCTGTTTGACTGGGTTTTTTCATGGAGGAGTTATCAGTCCTGCTCCAGCTAAGTGCCAGTTTCTGCATAGGCTGCTTGTCCTGACTCCCTTCTCATATCTCCAGATGGAGCCCATTTTCTGATCAGCCTGCTGCACTGGATAGAGAGGTGATATAAACATAGTTATGTCCTGTATTTGGAATAAGATTTACTGGATGACCAGGTTCATTTTGCTGCATTACTAGAAGTTTACTTCCATAAATCCTACTATTGTTCTTTCCCAAGAACTTTCTGTCACTACATACTGCAAGTAAAGGGGTTGGAAGGTACAGTGGAAGCATTCACAATCTTGGAAAATTTCTGTTGCAAAAATCAAAGATGCCTTTGGGACTTTTAAAATTTTCTTACTCCCCAGCTGTATTGAAGGCTCAAGCCTGTTGTTTTGTGCTTTTGTTTTGACAACTTCACACCAACCAGTGGAAAATTGTCAAACATGCTGAAATGCTGCTTGTTGTGGCAGGAGGAGATGGGATCTGGGCAAGGGCGTTTTGCAGACTTCAGAGATTTCTTTGCATCAGATATCTAAAGCAAACAATTTTTCTTCATTTGAGGCATCTGCTAGACCCTTCCAGCGTTTGCTAAACTCTAAAAGGTTAGAATTGTCTTGCACAAAAGCAGGATTAAGTTATTACTGCCATTTATATTGTGGATGCCTTTGAGTCTGTGTCTCTTGAAAGCTAGGGTCCTTCAGAGCACTGCTGAGCCAAAAGGGGATAAAAATGGCAGGAGTCCTGGTAGATTTAAATTGGTGCTTGATAGGATTTTAAAGTCTGTTTTCTTTAAGCCCTTAGTCTCTGTGACCCAGCCTTACCCCAGTTGCAGTCTTTGTGCAGTCATTGGACTGAGCACTAAGTGCCTCTGTAGGCTGGTGGTGCTCTCACCACAAATAAGTGATGCTGGGAATTGGCTTTTACTTTGCCAGGACCTGTCTTGACATCTGCTCCCCTAAGGGAGCAGTGCAGTGCCCAGCCAGAGGGACTGGTGGGTGTATGCACCTACCCTTCCCACCTCTCTCAGGTTTGGGAGTGCTGTCCAATTGCAGCCCAAACTGACAAAAGCACAGAGTCCATGAAGATACTAAGTTCCAGCAAGTTTCATTAAGACCAGTGACTAGGAAAGAGAGAGAGTTGATGCTTGGCCCTACGAGGGAAGAGCTGCACTGGGTGTGTTAATACATTAGCAGAGACCAGAAAGCTGATATAAAATGGTGTGAGCACCTGACCAGTGGAGAGGGATGTGTGAGTGAGCAGGGGAAGGACACAGAGTCCTGTCTGTGACTTACTCTCTTATAGCAGTTATTACCTGGCACTTAGTACAACCTCGTTTTTAACTTCAGTCAATATTGAGGATAGTAAATCATATGGTGCTTGCCATGGTTAAATGCTGCTGTAAATCCTGGGCCCTTTTTATTCTAAACTTTTTACCTAGGACAGAAAGGTACAGCTTTTCTGAGATTTGATAAGTCCTAGCAGATGTTTCCAGTGACACTTTTGAGGATTGGTGTAGAGTCACTCCATTTCATAGAGAAATATGCCTCTCATTTTTGTCTGTGCTAATAAAAATAGGAGCATGGCACAAGAGACTGTAATGACAGCAGGAACAAGTTTTTACCACTGGCATTTCTGTTCTCATCTATGTCAGAAATTGGCTTGTTTTGCAGTGCATGGATGCACACTTTTATTTCCTGGTGCATTCCTTATAGACGTGGCAGCAATCTAAACTGAATGTTACCGTATAATGAAACATTTTATTTTACCGTTGTCAAGATCATAAATGGCAGCTTAGCAAGCAGAAAGTTTAAACCTCCACAAAGCTCTCAGCAAGTAGCTGGTTACCTTAATTCAGTAAGTGGCTTGCTGGTAGATGTGACAGCACATTCTGGGGTTACAAAACACGACCTGTGGAAAGCTCATGTTCAAATCAGGATGCAGGTAGCACTGCCTCCATGTTGGGACAGCATCTTGTATTTGCAATGCACTGTCCTAATTCTGCACAAGACACACACAGATCCTCCACAGGTTTTACTGCATGAAGAGTTGTGTTGTCTCTCTGCTGTACATGGAGGTACAGAATTGGGACAAAAGGTCCAAAAAAAAAAAAAAGCCTGTGGATGGGTCCTTAACCTGCCTTGAATATTCCTTGAATGTTGTTTAGGCACCTGCATTTGTTACCCTTTCTACTGGGACATGAATGTTTAGCATTTGTTGAGAGCAGTTGATAATTTCATAGCATTGGGCTGGAACTTTGCACATTCAGAGTGTTGTGCAGATGCTGATGACTTGTGTGAGTCTCTTTTCAAACTCTGTTTTTCTTAGCTGGTAGGAATGGTGAGGGGTTGTGCTTGGCTGACAGCTGCATTGGGTAGCTAATGCATGTTCTGCCCATGGCTGGACAGCAAGAGAATGGGGCAGCCAGGATTCATGGGTGGTTCTTCTCCTACCTCTGGGAGGAAAGTTTAGGTATTTTACTCAAAAATGGTTCTGGTATTAGAATTCCTGAGCTGCTCTGTTTGATGATGTCTGTTTGTTGTTTATTAACTTCTGAATGGAAGTATTTGCACTTTTAGAGACCCTCACCAAATGTGCAACTTTTCATTCCAAGTGTTTTTAAGCAGATGAGGTTTGGGTGGACAGCGTGGGACTTCTGGGACTTGTGTGGTTTGGACAGACTCTCCCGTTCTTGGTTCCTTTAATGGCAAAATGAGAGAAACTGTACTTACTGCTCTGTAGTTGGGAGTCATGTTCAGCAATACATGTGAAAGGAGAAAAAAATTCAATTGGAGGAAAAAGAAAAACCAAAAATCTTACTGCCTCAGCATAGAGTACAGCCTTCTGGAAGAAAATGTGTTTGGCAGGTAGCAAGGGTAGTTTGAAGTTATGGGTTGTTGGCATTGTTTGAGCAGTGCCTGAGGTATACACTGTGCAGAAAGCTGAGGGCTGTGAGTGCACAGTTGTGAGGGCTGGAATGGGAAAAAGAATCAAAAGTTTGCGTGTGCAAGTGGTGGTTTTTCTATTAAACTCTGTCATTCTTCCCTGGTTGAGCCTGGAGATCTGCAGAAAGCATTTCACAGGCCACAGAAGTATGTCCCTGCCAAATACTGAGTTCTTCTATGAACTCCTGAGGAGGCTTGAAAATTTACTTTGAGCAAACTGACTTGTTTCTACGCTTGTGGTGTTTCTGGAATTGGAAGATTTATTTTCAATACATAAATAAATTCAGCTCAAGGCATGCAGCTGGCATATAGAATAACAAACTGAATTTATGAATCAAAATTTCAGGGACTCACCTCAGATCTTGTAAGTATTGGTTTTGGTGCTGATCAGAAATTTTTCTACTGCTGAAAAAACGCCAACATCTCCCATGCAACAGCTGATTCCAGTTTTCAAAACAGATTAAATTCCTTTTCCTCTATTTCTTTCTTAAGTTTGAATATTTACAAAACAATTTCCCCCCTTCCCTCCCCACCTCTGGACCAGGCAGCACTAAAATTATTGCTTCTGCCCTGAGTTCCCGTTGGACTCTCTGGACAGTTACACCCTGTCCTTCAGATAGAGCAGTCTGCCTCACTGAGCTGATGCTGAAGGTTAAGCTTGGCATCCCCAAGCCTGTTTGGCATTCAGGTGTGCAGTAAAAGGTTCCTATGGTCTGGACAGCCTGGCTGCAAGAGCTTGGATTTTGCCAACCTGGAGTTCAGGTTTCTGATTCCCTGCCTCCTTCCCTACAGTCCTAATGCTCCCTTTTTGCATTTGGGTCTCTCTTTGCGTGCAAGCTCTAGCTTGGCTGCATGGACTGCATTTTGGTAGAAGTGAGGCCCGAGCTTAAATCCTTCACTGGACTGAGATCAGAAGTGCAGTAAAGAGCTCCTGAGTGTGAAGCACATGGAAGAAATAGTAGCAAGTAAAAAGAGGCAGAGACAAGTGGAATTACTAGCTTGGAAACTCATACAGAACAAAGGTAGAGCACATGATCTGTTCCTCTTGTTTGTGGCAGCCCCAGTCACTGCCAGCCCAACCCCATCTGCTACTGGGAAAATTCTCCTTCCCTCTGCTTCTTTGGCTCAATCACCAGATCTGTGTTCCTGCTGAGCCAGATGTGCCATGAACCATCTGGAGGAATATTTCATTGCTTTTTCTGATTTATGGCAAGTAATGTGCTACCTCAAACGGAGGCAGCAGCCTCTCTAATTTTGAGATATCCAAGAGGAATTTTCTGTCTTGGCAGACTTGCTTCTACATTTGGAAGCTGTCTGCTATAGTGAGAAAGCTGTCTTGAGGTAGTTAGCAGTTATTAGGAAGCTGAACCACTATTGCTTGTTAGCATGGGATATATGGTCAGGGTGATGGGGTGTGGGAGGCCTGCCAGCTCTGTCTGTTCACTGTGTCACTTTCCCTACTTCACTCTATGTCTCTGCTCTTCCCTTTAGAGGAGTTTTCCTGGACACCATCCTTCCCCGTCGTGACGATAACGGCGTCCGGCCGACCATCGGTCAGCGAGTTCGCCTGAGCCAGGGGGACATTGCTCAGGCCAGGAAGCTGTACAAATGCCCAGGTAAATATGGCCTGGGGAGATGGATCCTGCTTTATCATAGGCACATGGTTTATGTGGAAGGCAGAGAGGAGCACCTTAATGATCCCTTTGAGGAAAGAGACTTGGGAAACACAGACTATCAAGTGCTTTAGGCTGGAGCCGTGGGGGAGAAGTGAACTTGCTTAAAATGTGTCTCATGTTAGTACTTTGCCAGTATTCTTGTTGGGTTTAGGGCTTCAGATTGGTCCAGTGTAGGCTCTGTTCATAGAAAATTAAATCAGTGTGCAAGACTACAGGCAGAGTGGGGATTAGGAGTTAGCAAAAGGTGGGAAGATGTCTGGTAGACTGAGGCCCTGGAAAGTGCTGGATGCAAATCCACTGTTTTTCTGTATTCAACTACAGGTCAGAAAGTATGAGTCCATAAGGGTCTAGAATGAATTCTGAGGGCTTCAGGGTCTGTATGTTTGAAGATTACTGCTTTTAGCTTGTAATGGGTGATACAACTTTCAGGTCTGTTAGTTGTAATTAACCTTTTTTTTTTTTCTCTTCCCTTTTACCTCATCATTACATTTTTCTTTTTACATTCATCATTATCTCTAAGCTGCTTTTGGTTGAATAAAACGTTGTTCTTGCAAAATTATCTCATGGATTAGTTTAGGGGTTAATTTGTTTTGCACTATGTTGTTTTGATTGAGTCTGACTTAATCCAACCAGGTTTTTCATTCTTGTAGCTGGAAGAATCAATTACAGATTTAGATTTCTCAAGGCAAGCTTAAAAGCCACTTTGGCCTGAGGTACTAACTAAAAGCTACAAAACAACTTTCTTTAAAATGAGGACTCTTTTGTGAGTCTCAAGTTTTCCATTTGCAAAGTAGAACTTTTCTTACTTTTTTTTTCCACAAAGCTTTAGCACAGGTTATTACAGTTCAGAACATATTAGGCAGCAAAATAATTAGAGATTTAGGCCTACTAAACTTTTTTTTTTCAAATATCTGTTGTTCTGCTTTGAGTTGGTTTTTTTTTTTTTTTTCATCAATATTTATACACTGGTTGCATCTTGGGAAGAAGAGGTGCAGTATATTTAATGACATGAACATCTTCATCTGCCACTTGAATCTGTAGCTTGAAAAGTTTTCTTCCTCTGTAAAATACAAAGCAAAGGAGTTCAAAACCAAAGGACTTCATCTGTGTGTTCAAGCACGGTCTGAATGAGACTGTAGGATGAAGACACTGTTCAGCAGTCAAGCTGAGGATTTTAGGGTGAAGTGCAGCAGCATAACTCAGAAGTTGAGTGGCAGATGGCCTCCCTTGTAGAAAGAGAGTTTCCATCTGAGAATACCTAATAATATCTCCCAAAAAAAAGAGCTAGTATGGTGGAGGATGAGTTACAAGCATGCACTGGAATCAGCCAGAACAACTGCTGTGTCTGTAGAAGCAAACAGGGCTCTCCAGCTCATTAGGCTGGAGCTCATGTGCCTGCTACAGTCAGGGCTTGCTTAGCTTGTCCCTTCTAAAACCCTGCTGTTTTAAATTGCCCTTAATTCCTCAAAACTTATACCTGCTGGGTTAAGGTTAGGGCTAAGCCAGGTGAAATCAAATGAAATTTGCTGAAGGAATTTCTGGAAGGCAAGGTGCAGTCTGCTACATAGTAGTTAATGCTAGATTTGCTATGGCTGCACAGTTGAGAATTTGATTACTGCAGTCACTACAAAAGCTTTAAAACAGCTCATCCTGCTGTCTTGTGTTGTGCTAAAGGAAAAAGGCTTGTGTAGCTGTGCTAACTGTGCAGGAATGGTTAAACTGTAAATTGAGAATGGTCCTGCATTATGTAATTTCCTCCAGTTCTCCGGGCATTTTCAAAAAGATGCAGGGTACCAGTAACCAGCTGATGAGCTGTAAGTGCCTGTCACTCAACTGCTTCATTTACAAATGAGTTCTGAAGCATTCACCTTATTGCTTTGCTTTTCACCTTTGTTCCTTTCTATCCGCTCAGTTTCTCGGATCTCAGAAGTACCCAACAGTTGCTTTATTGGACCTCTTGTCTTCTTTGCTGCTAAGTGCAGTACAGTCCTATTGCTTTTTAGGGTGCTCTGCACGAGGCTGTGCTGTCCTCACAAAGATGCATTGCTCACTGTTGTGCTTCCCCCTGCACTGCAAGCAGTCCTTTGCTCCATGCTGGAAGGAAGGCCAGCCTGTCACCGTGTCTGGGGAGTTTCCTCTGCAAGGGTCAGAGAGTTAGATAGTTAGTCCTTTCATATTTCAGCAAAGTAGTCTTTGCAAGTAGACACAGCAGTACCTGTTCCATAATTACAGAGTCTTGCCAGTAGCTGTGTAATTGCACTCCGGGAGAATTAAGTCTGGGCTGTTCGAAACCTTCATTGTGGTTCAGCTGAGGGCAATATTCTCATGTCACTGTGGTCATGTTGTGCATGTTTCCCATGATTTAGAGCTCCCTTTATCATTTCATGTTTGTTTAAATAGATTTTTGAGCAGAGAAACAGAACATTTATTTATCCTGGTGAGTTATGGATTTCCCTCTTTATTAATTTAAAACTCCTTTCTGCGTCCCCACATTTATTCATCTAGTCTGATCTGTCGAGCTGTGGATCAAACGTGATTAGGGAAATAAAGAAATTCTGGCCTAGGTGACTCCTTCTCCCCTGCCTAAACATACTAAACTTTTTCAATGGAACCAGTCTTTTTTCACCTCCAACTGCCAACCCACCCATCTAAATGTAGTCATGGCTGCAGAATTACCCTGTGATAGCATCAGGCAGAGGAACAACCCCTGGCATTTCCATGAGAAAGGGAAGGCCTTAATCTTTCAAAGCACTGCTGCTCGATCAGGGATTTTTGGGGGCTGCCTTTCCGTCTCTGAGGAAACAGAGTTGCAGGTCCAGGGGAGCTTTATCATATCAGTTGGTTAGGAAATTGGAAAAACAACTGGGAAGCAGGCAAGCCAAGGTCCCTGCTCCTTGCAATGGGCACTTGGATATGTCTAGTGGGCACTGCCAAGGAAATGGGAGCTTTGATATTTGGGGTGCTCCCACCCAGCCAGCCAGCTGCTCTCCAGATGTGGATGGTCACTCCTTGTTCCAGCCCAGTCATCCTGGCTCAGAGAGCAGAGCTACAGTAGTCACAGCTTTTCCAGATGTTGGAAGCTGCAGTTCCCTAAAGGATCATATGCATGTGCATATTCTTTGCTTCCCAAAAGTCACTCTGGGATCTACATTTCATCAACTGCAGCAGGCCACAGAACAGGAAGTTGAGGAGCAATGGGCTGCTGTTCTCACACTTCGTCCTGTGCAGTGAAGTGGCTGGGAAGGTGCTGGGCAGCTGAAGCATGAGGGTGATGGGTGATGCCCTGCTTTTGTTAGGATGTTTTAAGCCCAAAAAGGACAATTTACAATGGTATGTAAGGAGAACTTCATTGAGCAGCTTGTAATGAAGGGAAAATAGATTTACAGCAGTATGGGGTTGTGAGGTGGGATGAGGTTAAAATTTTGCATTTGATTAGTGAATGAGATATTCCTCAGCTGAAACCTGAAAGTGCTGGCATGGGGAAGGAAGATGAAGGAAGAAGGGTGCTTCTTTAGTAGCTGTTTCATCTGTGTCCTTGCACTGATCATCATCTATCCCAGAAATTCTGACAAATTTCACCCCTTTGGCAAGGCCTCAGGTGGTCAATGACCTTTGGCCAGTACCATGAATGAGCCCTGTTGGAGTACCAGCCACCAGCCTGCACCCTGCAGCCATGGGCAGACAGTTGGGTAGACCCTGATGTCTTTCAGAGTCACTCCTTTTTGACAGGTTTTTTTTTTTTCCCTCTCCTGCAGCTTGTGGAGAGACCTTGCAAGACTCAACAGGTAATTTCTCAGCCCCTGGTTTTCCAAATGGCTACCCCTCCTATTCCCACTGTGTCTGGAGGATCTCGGTGACCCCAGGGGAGAAGGTAGGTGCCACAGCAGCACAAGGTGTACTCTGCACTTCCCTCATGTGATGCCAGTGTTAAAACCTGCCACAAGATCTCTGCATGCCTGGTGTGCAGGAATGGAGCCTGGAAAGGCGGCTGAGCACCACTCAGGAGAGAGATGGAGTCGGGAATAGTTGATTTTGAGGAGAGAAGTGGTAATGCTGGAGCAGAGCCCCTCACATATCTGGGCTGTGTGTTGATCTCTGATCCTCCCTCTCAGTTTGAGACTGAACCCTACATGGACATTTCCTGCCACCTGTTAGCTTTGGCAAGCACACATTCCAAAGCCAGTCAGATGAGTTAGATAATGTGCTGCAGTCTGGGGTCCTGAAGGGAGCTGAGGAGCCATGAGTGACATCCATGGCCTGCCCCTGTCATGCAGGCATAATGTCCCTGTCAGGGAACTCCCACTTCCCGCCTGGAAACGCCAAGCCCCGCTGCACATCAATCACCCACCCTGTCTACTTTGCTCCCAGCTCCTTTTGTTTTACTGATCTTCCTGTAGAAATGAAATCTTTCCTTAATCCAGCAACAGCAGCCCTTCAGGCCTGTCACTCCATTCCAGGCTGCAGGAATGAGCAGCCCAGCCTGGGAGCTCCATGGCAGAGTGGCTTTGCTGAGGATCACCCTCAGGACATGCTTAGGACTCAGACTCGGACAAAGAAGGGCAGAGTTTGTTCTGCAGCAGCTGCAAGCCCTGTCCCTGTCCCATGCCATGCTGAGCTCCTGCCATCAGCTGCGGGAGAGCATCACTGGGGAGGAGGGCCAAGAGCCATCCAGGTTTGACAGCTGGGAGAGTTTCATGGTGTCAGTCTTACTATAAACCCTCCTTTGCTTCTCAGCCTCTTCAGAGCTGTGTCAGGAAGGACCCAGCATTGACACGCTGAACCAATAATGTTAAAAAAGGAAATAAAGAATTGATTTCAGATTAAATGCTTCAATTTACCTGTTTAATCCAATGCAGTGATTGGTGCAAATTGTTGCACTGAGGTGTTAATTGAGAACAGATATTGGGCTCATAGCATTCATCTGCATAGAAACAGATGAATCTCCTTTTGCTATCCAAAATCAGAATACTGCAAAAATGTGAAAAAAGTGAGTGACATCATTACAGACTGCACTCTGCACACCCAACCAGGACTTTGGGGGGGAACATCCATTTTAATATGAAGACATTTCTGTGACTGTGTTCAGATTATGGATGTAAATTAATTATATGGGTCAAATCTTTCCAGAAAAAAAAATGCAAATACACACCAATGGTGACTTCCATAGGTGACCTCCCAGACCAAAGCCAGTGATCCATCTTAGAGAGGAAAGAGAGCAAAATAATAACATTTTAATGTCAAGCTCTATTTTGTAAAGCCACTGCAATGCAGTTGCATCACAGTGATGGTTGTGAGTCTGATGGTCAGAATGTGGAACCTAATTAGCAAAATTAGATATTTCTTACAAGTATCGTTTATATGCAGGTATAGACCCTAAACGTGTGTGGTTTGTGACAATGTCTTTATGATTTTCACGTTACTCAAAACCAAAGGGTTTAATTTTAAAAATCCAAACGGGACTTTTTTAAAGGAACATTTTAGTAACTGAGAAGTATAGTAAAGGGTTCTCTGTTGTCATGTACTGCCATGGTTTCATTAAAATACCTTGACAAGCCTTTCTTTTTTGAGAAAAGGTGGTGTGCAAATCCTACAAATGGCCCAGCTGTCTTTGCCTGCATGCTCAACTAGGCAGCACTGTAGTGAAAATGAAACAGTCTCTAGGGTGTTCTCTTTAAAGTAACTCCCTCCCCAAAGAGAAATGTGCCCTCTCTCCTTTCAGATTATGTTAAATTTCACATCAATGGACTTATTTAAAAGTCGCCTTTGCTGGTATGATTATGTGGAGGTGCGTGATGGCTACTGGAGGAAGGCTCCGTTATTGGGTGAGTGGCTGTTTCATTTTAATTGCATTTTGTTTGTTCTTCTTGATGCTTTAGAGAGTGGGTGGGGAAAACAAACACAAACAAACTTTCCTTTGCTTGAAAGGATCCTAGGTCCAGCCAGTGCACTGGCCATCCCTTAGTGCCTCCATGCAGAGATGTCAGTGGTGCTGTATTCACTCCCAGTGATCCATGCTCCAAGCCCTGTGGTCACAAAGGCTTTATTCCTTCCTTTTCCAGCTTGAGAAATGAGGCAGGGAGGGAAGTGAGCCAGAGCCCTGGCTGGGACTAAAAATGTGGTCTCTGGAGTTTTGTTATTGCTCTTTCCTAAGTCCGGGGAAGAACTGTCAGGCAGTCAGAATGAAGCAGCTGCACAGCTCCTGACCCAAGCTCCTGCCATTATTTCTCATGAATTTGTGTTTACAAATACACAGTACTCTGTACTTTGAGCCTCTGTAGTCCTAACAGAGAACTTGCTAGGCCATGCCATGTCCAATTATGCAAGGACTCCACTCTGCTTCTGCTCCCAGAGATCTCTAGGAAGTGCAGCTCCTCTGTATCCTCCCTGTTTCTCTGCCTTCTGCTATAATAACTGCAAGTCTTCTGTCACCTTGAGTGGTTCAAGAGTCCCACTGCTTTGCCACTGCCTTTGATCCTGACCTCATCCCCTAAGCTCGGTGTCCCAAAGATGTAAAATGTGGCACTGCAAACAGCCCCTTCTGCCTAAAAGGAAGGAAGCAACCAGGTTTGGCATCATGTTAGAGGGGCTGCACCCCATACTGCAGCACAGGACTGGGCTAGTCAGCATTGGGTCAGAGGGTTTTGGGAGGTTTGAGTGTTCTCCTTGGCCCCACTGGACACCCTAGTCCTGGTACCAGGTGAGGAGCTGAGGTGAAGCCATGCAGCTTCCCAGGTTTCAGTGGGCCTGCCTTTCAGGGCAGTTGGCAGCTGGTTTTATTGTTCACTGCCTGTTTTAGGGTTGGCAGTATATACTGCTGTTCTCTGCTGCATATGTGTCAGGTAACATTGCTCCAGCAGCTGCAACTTAGCTCCTCGTTATTTTTTTTTTCTGCTGAGTAATTTAAAGGTACTTCAGAAGCCAAGCACCTCCCTGTCCCCCTAGTGCAGGTGGGCTTGGGAGTGTTTCCATCTGGAAGGAGATGCTGTGTGAGTGGTCTGGTTCCTGCATGGGGCTGAGCCCATGAAATTAGGTCAGAAGAGGCAGACAGACTGCAATTCAGCAGGGGGTGAGGAGGGGGATTAGTGTGAATTGTGAAAGCACGGGCTTCTTGTGGAGAGAAGAAATACATGTGTGCTGCATATTTTCCCAGGGAAGTGTGTGAAAACCCAGCCTTTAAATGGTGTATAACTTTTTATGAATGGGCCCTTTATCACACTCTGAGGAACTTGCTCATTCTCGTTCCTCATCTGCGTTTCCTCTTCTTGACACCCTTGTTAAACTCCAAGTCTAAATCAAGGAGGAAGTTGCTCAGTGACCCTAGAGGAAGAAGGTTTGCAGTGCTGATGCTGTTTTTAGCATCCCCTTTGGGAGCAGAGATGGACAAATGCTATTAATACGCTGCAGGGCTGTCACACTGCCCCAACAGCACTGGGCAGGTAGGGGGCACAATAGTAACTGAGTAAAGCTGGGTCCAAGATAATATTCAGATGGATGACTCTGCAAGAAAAAAAACTGATAGTGAAACTGCTATTCCCAGCCAGTTAATGTGAAATATGATGCTGTAATGAAGGTAAGGCATTAACCAGGTTTTTACCCAGTGGAAGTTCAAAGATGCTTTTGCCTGGTGTTGGAAGGCCAGCATCCCTGTCAGCCCTGTCCTGGCTGAATTCAACCTGAAGAGCTGCTCTTTGTTAGATTCCAACTGGGATTCAGCTGGACAGGGTGCCAAGACCATGTTGAATTCGGTGTACAGCCCTGCTGGTGTCAGCTGAAGTGAAAAAACATGTTTGTGCAAGCTCCTGACCCAAGTGCAGGTCCCTGCCTATCAGTGCATACTTGGTGCTTGCTCTGTTTCTGTGAGGAGCTTCTGGCTTCAATAGAGGAGCACCAAATTTGGTTTGTTGAGGTTATCCAAGCTGCAGATGCCATCTGCAGCTGTTCTGTTTCAGGATTCATTCCTACTGGCAAACTTTGGGAGTTTACCAGTGCTGGTACATGCCAGAGACCTCAAAGCTGGGGGAATCAAGGAGCAAAATTGCTCCTGGTTTCTTTCTCTTGAAAGAAATTTAAAAAGACTGCAGAAGCTTAACCAGGATTTGTTAAACAGAGAATGAGATAAGTATTTTTTTCTCATCAGCATGGCCATGTCCTGCCCTTGGTTTGACTTGGAGTATTTACTCCTGGGTGCAAAGTGCTGAAGGAGTTTTCAAGGCTTAGCAGGTGGAAAGAACATTCCCTAGTGCCACATCTCTAGAAGGACGGGGATGCTTTCCTACCATGGTAGCCCATTTGCTCAATTCCATAATCAAGACAAGAGCCTGTTTGAATTTACCAGGGCAATAGAGGCTTCATTCATAATTACTGGATTCTGCTCTCAGCTGAAGAGAACTATAATTCACTTAATAATGGAAAAGAATATGACTTAAGGAAGGGGGGACACAGAAACTTATTCAAAAGCACAATTAATGGGAGTGAAAGGGTGTTTTACACAAGCACATTCCTTTAACCAAAGACTCTTTGCTCTCCAGGCTCACAGGTGCCCGTTATGCTGTGCTGTCTCTCAGGAGATGATAGAGATCTTTATTATCTCTTTCCTGCCTTCTAGGTAGATTTTGTGGTGACAAGATTCCTGAACCAGTAATCTCCACAGACAGCAGGCTGTGGATCGAGTTCCGGAGCAGCAGTAACATCCTGGGCAAAGGCTTCTTTGTGGTCTATGAAGGTACAGCCCTTTGCTAGAGGTCTGCATTGTAGGGGCAGGTGGAGCAAGATCCAAGGGCTTTATGGGATCAGCAGGAGTTCTGCTGCACTGTGTGGTTGGATTCAGCCATGCTCTTGTTTTTATGTGATTTTGTGGCTTGTTTCAATAAGGCGTGGATTTTCCAACTAGATTATCACATTTTGGGGGGCACAACAAGATGGGAACATAAAGCAATAGCTTCCATACTTAGGCCAGGTTCTGTTTGCTCTAACCAGCCCCTTCAATCAGCAGTGTGTGGAGCAAGAGTTTCTTTACTTTAACAGGCCAAGTTCTGTTTGGGGTCATACATTTCATATCACTTAATACAGATTGTATTGGGGTGGTTTTGTTTGGTTGGTTGGGGTTTTATTCCCAAATTCCAAGTTTGTTCTTTTGTTTCTCCTTTGTATGTTTTACTTACAGAAAGTTGGAAATTAGCATGTCAGATCTTCTACAGGTCAGGTATTTTAGAAACTTGCATGGCACTGAGATGATGAAACCAGAGGAGGAGCAATACTACCACAGTCATTAAAAATCAGTAACTTCCCTTTTCCATATATACTTGGGTTTTTTTCCAGTAATGATTCTAAAATGTATTAAAAGCCCTCATTGTTTTCTGGGCAGCAGGCATTTTTCTTAGAAATACCAGTGCTGTCAACAGCATTGAGGTAGACTGTATTGATACCAACATTGCATCATCTTCTTTCTTCAGCCACAGGAACAAGCATAATGCTGGAAGCCCAGTGCCCAAGTGTCCCATAAACTCATGAATAATGATACTAACAGAGGGAAGTGAAGCAAACATGGGACTGTTGGGAAAGTGCAAATAAAGCATATAAGGATTTCACAGCAGTTTGGGGCTAACAGATCTGTTTCACAGGAGAAATATCTGGTTTCTGCAGGAATTGTTGCCCCAGAGACAGAGGTAGCTTGCCTGATGTTTGGTTTTTTAAAACATCTCTCCTGAAAAGCAGCTGTTGCCTGGACCATGTGGTTTGTAACACCCCCTTTATGGTAGTTTGTTGGAATCAGAAGTGATCAAATTAGCATGTATGGCATCGTCCTTCATATTGCTAAATGGTATTGGGAGAAAAATAATTTTACATTGACTGCATTACAAAGTCACTTTGCAAAGTGACTTTGTTTTCCCTTGACAATTTCCCATATTTCCTGCTGATTAATAAATGATCCCTAAAGATTCAATAAATATGAGCTTGCTTAACTTAACTTATAAATAGAGCAGCTCAAGGTGGAATGGGCATCTACTGGTCAAACAAACTCTAATTCATATTTTCCTGTCCCTTCAAGAATGGTTTTTTATATAACCATTTCCTGCAAGTAATCTCCCGATTTAAGGCTGTGAAATCCATGGCTGTGCCTGAGAGGAAGCAGAATATGATTGGTGTAAACCAGCTTGTGCTACAGACACAGTGATGGCCCATTACACATTTCCATTCTTATCTCTGGATGATGAAGGGAATGCTTAAGCTTGGATATCTCAGCCTCCTCTTGTCAGAACAGCAGGTAGAGAGATTATCTGCATGTCTCCCCATAATTTATTTGCAGAAACAGGAGATTTTTAAAAAATCTTCTTTATTCCCTATTTCCCACTTAAGCAAGTTCTGATAATATCTGGTTTCTTTTGCCCTTTGCAAAGTGGCTTACTCAGCTGTTTTGTGATTTCTGTGCTTAGGCAATAAAGGTAGTTTTTATTTCCAGGAGAGATTGCATATAAGTGTTTAATTTTCTATCAGTTTTTGTCCAAGATCTTTCTCTGTTGCTGTTAGTTCCTCTTTTTCTTTTGAGTTCCTCTCTCGAATTTAGCACTGCTTCTCTGTCTTCTGCTTTAGTGATAGTGCATATGAATGGTCATGCATCTGAACCTTTCTGGTAACTGTGGGTGAGGACTGATTTTTGCATTTGGATTCCTCCCAAGTCTTGGCCCTAAAGTTTTCAGAAGATGGGAAGAAAGAGGCAGAAGCATGCAGCCACATGATGGTAGAATTACTTGATCCTAAATGACAGTTTATGTAGTGGAAGTGTCCTCTTAGTTCAGTCATTCTGTTCCCTTTCTTTGATGGGATTTAAGATGGGAAGATGTTGGTGGTTTTGCCTTACAGCACTGCTGGCAGCCCGAAATTTGCTGTCATTATCCTCTTTTCAGGCTCTACCAGCACATGTTCTTTCCATTTTGCAGTAAGGCTCTTCCAAGCATAGTTGATGCTCAGCTGTATGTCAGTGTGAACTTCTGCAGTGAATTGAGAAAATATTTGTTGGCTGTCGGTTTCATGGCTCTTAGAAAATAAAGTCCTCTGCTCTTGTACTCCTCTTTCTGTTAGCTGGGGGGGACAGTTCTTTAAAGGATCCTTCAGAGGTTTTCTCAAGCACCACTTGTAGCTCCGAATGTATGAACTCAGATTGCAACCTAAATTGTGCTCTGCAGCTGAATTTTTAGGTGCTTTGGCACTGATTCTGTAAGAAAGAGGTTAGCTGCACTAATGAAGCAGTGCTTTTAACTCAGTTACATTAGCAGCTTACAGTGCAAGACAAAAACAGTTACCCAGTGCAAGCAATTTGCAGGACACTAAATGGAGACCCATATCTGAATTGCAAATGCAATGCCTTGTGGGGAGAAGCCAGGGGTGAGGAAGGTTGATATCTGGCACGTGTCATTGCAGTACCATCTCTCTTGTACTTTCTGCGGGTGCTTTTTGTTTCCTGGAGTTTAGACACGACCAAAACATCCATGTGTTTTGTGGATATGTGCCATGCATCAGGGGTAACACAGGTTTTAGCCTGTGATCTTACTTTAATTTCTTACATAGTCTTGCAGACAATTTTACTGAACTGCTGTTGTCTTCAAAATCTTTACTAGTTTCGTATTAAACTAGGTTTCCATTAAATTTTCTATTTTAGTATTTAAACTTACTCTTATATTTGGCACTAAAACTTAATTTTTCATGCACAGCCTGATGGTCTGGTGGTGATCAGCTCAAGTTGTGCTTGTTAATATTGCCATCGTGTGGCTGGATTAGATTTGCAACTTCTCCCCCTCCCATTCCCTCCCCCCAGCTTTTCTTGGTTCTTAGTGCTGGTTTCAAGCAGATATGAAGGAGTATGAATAACAAAAATGCATAAAGATTCTTTGTCCCAAAGAGCTCACCTTCTGAGGACATTAGCACGGCAAGATAGGAGACAACATCATAAGACAAAATGTTAGATTTGTAAAAACATCCATGACTTGTGTGTTGCATTTGTATAGCAAGCAATGCTGAAACAGATTTGATGAGAAAGGTGCACATGGAATGGGCTTTACCTGCAGAGAAACTTGCAATCTCATGGGTTTGCTGTTTCTTTTTTATGAAGCTATTTGTGGTGGAGAAATACACAAAGATGCTGGCCAGATCCAATCTCCCAATTACCCAGATGACTACAGACCTTCCAAAGAGTGTATCTGGAAGATCACAGTTTCTGAGGGTTTTCACATAGGAATCACATTCCAAGCCTTTGAGGTGAGAAATGTCATTGCACATTATATTACTTTGCTGTTCTTTTGCTTCTACAAACCCTTTAAAATGAAGAAGAAAGTGGTAATAGTAATAATAATAATAATAATAATGATGATAATTTAAAAAATATTTTTACTACTTCAGAGTATCATTTACCTTACCACATGTTTGCTGAGAGATTCTGATTTTTGAAGTTTAAAATGTGCTGAGTTTTCAAAAACTGTTGCTCTAGACAGAAGGAATTAAAAGGAACTCAAAAGTGTCGATCATGTTATATAGGGACTCATGAGTCTGTAAAGTTTCACTCTGGTTAAATGGAAGTAAATGGTCACAATCCAGGCAAAAAACTCTTGTTGGTGTCACTGGGACTTGTCAGATTGCAGAATGTGACTCCTCAAAGAAACATTGTTTTCCCAGGTGGCAGACAGACATTGAAGAGCTCACAAAAAGTTTTTTTTCTACTGCTTATAGGATGTCTTCCACTCTTAGCTACATGCCAGTGATCAGTCTCTGCTTACTGATGTTAAGTCACACACAGGAGTGCACAGGACCTTGGTTGGTGCATAAATCTCATCTCTCCCACAGGCTCCCGTGGCTTGTGTGCACTCACCAAAGGGCTGACACCATTACCTCCCCACAGCTATCCCTTGAACCTTTTTATTTGTAGTTGTTCTGCTCTGTTTCTTACAGCTTCTCTTGCAAAAGCAGTTTGCAGGTAGTCAGGGGCTGGGTTTCACTGCAGGGTAGCCACAAAGCAGTGGCAGAACTGAGATGTCCTAGGCTCAAATGCAGTTTGGACTGCAGAAGAGCTCAGTGGCAGCCACAGTTGTTTGGGGAGCTGGTCTGTGGCCAGGCTCTAACTGTGTCACTAGCCTGGCTGGAAGAACTCTTACTAGTGAGGCAGAGGCACACACCTTTCCTATTGCAGATTGAATGGCACGATGCGTGCTCGTATGACTACCTGGAGATCCGAGATGGCCTCACTGAACAGAGCCCACTCATCGGCCACTTCTGTGGCTATGAGAAGCCAGAAGACATCAAATCCAGTTCAAACAAAGTATGGATGAAGTTTGCATCTGATGCAACCATCAGTAAAGCAGGCTTTGCAGCAAATTTCTTTAAAGGTATGTGATCTAATAACTCTCACAGTCAAAGCTGGGGACAATTCATCCCTTAAGCTACTGCCATCCACAAATCAATTCATTCTATCTATCAATTCACACATTATCATTCTATCTACTTGTACTTAGGATTTATTTGTACAATTTGTTTGCAAATACCGAATTTATGTACAAATTGCTTTGAGAGTGTAGAGGGGGTTGATGCTGAGGCAGGAAAACCTCCTCCCTGATTAGGACAGAAATCAACTCTGCTGGGCTGGTGTCAGCATAAATGTTGCACAGCTGGATGGAATGTCACCTCCATTTAGCCATGCCAGAGGACACTGACATTTTCAAAGAAGTATTAATACTGCACAAGAAGTGTTAAAAACAGCTCTCTGCTTAAGTTGTATTCTAAAATAAACCTCTGGAGAAAGGGTAAATCTAAATGCAAGTAGAGTCCCAGTGAAAGAATACTGAGACCTTTAGGAAACAAATGTGTTCCTAAACTGAGATTCTCTTCAGGAAGATGTAAGACTAAGATTTTTAATTTTTCTCTTTTTTTAAAAAAGCTGGACCCTAGAAATGGTCCTTTACCAGCATCTTGGTGACTTGATAGAGGCAAGAACCAAATATCTAACTGCTTGGGAAAATAGCTCTGGAGCTGCTGGGGGGCAGACAGTCATGCTTGTCTTAGATTCAGTGGCACTTGTACAGAAATAATGATTATAATGCCAATATTTGGATTGCATAAGTCTTTTATTTATTTCTACCTTAACTTTTGTCTCGTGTTAAGGATGTCATGGTCCATTTAGGTTTCTCAACTTTTCAGGAGAATGTACTGCTTGAATTAAACTTTATTTCATGAATTTAAGACTTCAACAAACAAACATGTCAGGGCTCAATCCCCTTGGCTCAGACTAGTCTATCCTATGAATTCACTTATTCACCATTCAAGGCACAAAATGTCATAACTTATAACCCATAATTCTTAAACTATGCACTTAAGTGCAGAAAAAAAACCAAAGGTAAATAAAGTTTAATTCACAGATTATATTGGCCTGTAAATTTGAGAGGTCTTAATGGACTGTGACAAAGGGTGATTGCAAGCACTGGCAAATGCTGTGACATTTGATCTCAGTCTCTGGACAGCTCACACAGTACCTAGATTTCCTTGCTTAAATTTCTCAGGTTCCATAAAGGCACAGAGAATACTTCCTGAAGATAATTTGGCTCCTTTCAGGAGTAAACAGTGCAGGCTGACTGTGGCAGAGTTGTCTTTCAGAGATTAGCACTGCATGGAGACGCAGCAATTAATTCTCTAAAATTTGAGTTTCATCTACAAGGTTGGAGGGGAAGAAAGTTATACACCTGTACCTGAAGTGCTTTCTCTGTGATATAGATAATCAGAAATAATTTTTTTTAATGTAAAATTGTGTAAGCTTGCACACTAGTACAATTGGAGGCACAGGTATTTTCTGTGGAGTTTTTGCTGGCAGACTAGTTCTTTCAGTGTTTGCTTGGATTTCTCATGTTTGAACCAGAAACCATGTAGTTTGTGGATGTTTAGAGCATTTTTAAGTTCATGCCAGTAAATTCAGCTGAGGAACAAAGTGTTGTTGCTTGAACCAAGTCATAGCAGCACAATTTCTAGCCAGCTTGCAAATTGTTTGTATCAGTGAAGCCTGTTTTCATCTGGTTGAAGTGTTAGTTCATCTACCTGGAGTAGGGGGAAGAATGAGGAGGAGCAGCAGGGTCATGTACTGCCTGTGGCTCCCCATCCCCTCCTGCCTTTGCACACCTGTGGCTTTGCTGAAGGGGCTGAGTGTAACTTTTAGGGATACAAGGCAGGGAGAGAGGGGCTTGGAGTGAAGCTGAGCCAGGAAGGGGAAGCAGAAGGATGTTTTCTGTAAGTGTTTGAATGTATTTGTTTTCAGTTTTTGTTTGCCCATACTTAAACCAGCACTCAAATGTTCATATTAATTGGCAGTAAGTTAAGTTAAATTCCCCAAAATTGAGTCTGTTTGAACAGAACAGTAATCAGTGGATAATTTGTCTGTGTCAACCCGTGACTTTCTTGCTCTTATTCTTCCTGTTTTCTTCCTCATTCCACGGGAGTGGCAGGCCAGGGAGTGCACCAACAGCTGGATGGGAGCTTGGCTGCTAGCTGGGGCTAACCCACCACAGCCATGTTAATAAAGCCATCTATTAAGGGATGCATGTGGAATCGGGGGTCAGGGTGAGAGGCCAGTGGCTATCTTTATATTAAAATGTTAGTTCAGGTTGTTGAGACATGATTGAAGAACCTGACTTCAAAGTCTAGGGTAACAAGACCTCACGTGCCTGTGAAAAGGCAGAGCTGCTTGTGTGTCCTGCCAGCTTCCATGGGGTATGACCTCCCTCAGCTCCATCACTGTGTGTGCCATAATGGGCTGGTTCCTGGTAGCTCAAGTTACTCAAGAGTGTGAGGAATTTTAAACAAACAAAACAAAGCCCGAAAAAAGGCATCTGAAAACAAAAGGCAGTGAAGTCTTTACAGGAGACAGTGTTTTCCTGCTTGTGTCTAGAAGCAGCACTGTTGGCTAGTAGCAGTCATGGTAGTCCTTTATGGTTCTGGTGTTTCAGCACCTGTGAGCTTTGCTGCAGTGCCTGCCCCACAGCCTTGGCTCAGCAGTCAGTGCTCTGATCCCTCTGTCCAGAAGGGTTCGTGAGGAATGCCAGGTGTTGGGGTGGTCAGGAAAGTGCCACTTGCTCTGTTTTTGTCCTGACAGAGATGGATGAGTGTTCCCTGCCGGACAATGGTGGGTGTGAGCAGCACTGCGAGAACACACTGGGCAGTTACAAATGCACCTGTGAGCCTGGCTATGAGCTGACAGCTGATAAAAAGAGCTGTGAAGGTAAGTAGCCTACAGATTGAGCCATCTGACTGTAGGATAGGTAATACAGCTAAAATGGAATTGAACAGTCTTGGAAGTGATTTTCCTTGCCCCTGCATCCTCTTTATTTTCCCCAATTGACTTTTTAATTTTTTTTTTTTTAACATCTTCCATTGAAAAACAAGTTTTGGTTAAAAAACTCTGAAAATACTCTGGTTTATACTGCTGAACATCCCTAAAAACAATTGTCTTTCATGGCCAGAGATTGCTGTTCAGATCAGATTTCCCACAGTACAACAACATAAGGGAACTAGGCATTACAACCTAACCGTTGAGTGGTCCCAAAGTATTTAAATCTAAGGCTGAATTTATTTGTTTTTCCAGAAGGAATTTTCTTCATATAATAAAATACCAATGTTTTGTCTGCATGCAAAGCAGGCTTCTCCATACTGAGGAGAATTTTCCTCCCTTCCTCTTTTATGGAGGAAAAAAACCCCATGTCTGTAATAGAAGCTGTTTGTGTCAGCTTTCTAGAGAATTAATCTCATGCAACAGTGTTGCTTCTGCCAACAATACAGCTGTTGGTGTGCTGAGAATCCATCCATTGTTCTTGTCTCAAAACTCTGTAGGAACATTTAGGGAGCTCCACATGCTATTAGTGGTGCTCTCAACATCACCTGGTTTGCCCTGACTTCTGCTTTTGTCAAACTATTTGGGCAAGAGTGTTGTCGACTTGGTGAGGGCAGTCAGGTGTGTGCAAAAGGCTTTTGAAAGCTTTTCTTTTTCTTTTATGTAATTTCTTGCAATTTTAGCAAGCCAGTTGCTAAGTTGCTGTAACTTGGCAGGATTTTTTTCTCAATTTCACTCTTAACCTCCTGTTTTAAACTTCATTTGTGGGCAAAGCAGAAAGAATAGTCTTTGAAACCGTAGCCATATGCATCAGAATGAATTGCTTTTTTTTTCTCCAAAACCACTTGCTTGATAGTCTATTTATATTGAAGCTGGTCCCTTGAGTTAGCCCTCTTAATGCAAAATGATGCTGGGAACAAGACACAGGAAGCTTTTATCCCTGTGGGTTTTGAAGATGTGGCCATATCTCATTATTCTCAAGAAACAGCAAGAAAAAAAATAGAAAAAAATTGCTTTGTTGCAAATAGAATTTTGCAGCAAATTGAAGTTTATTCCTTTGAGGTAACAGCCCTGCCCTCCCACAAGAGCAAGAAGCTGAGATGTCTTAAATTTTTAATGGAAATAGGATAATAAAGCTCAAGTCTTGTCTTTGCCTTCAACTTTCCCTAGAGAAGATGAAGTCCAAATATAATAAACCACTGAAAAGTTGAAAGGAATGTCTTCCCTAGGATTCCATTATCTTGTAATTATTCCATTACTGATAAACTTGCAATAATGAGGTTTGTAGCACTGAATGTAGGCGAATTTACCAAGCTGGCCTTTACAACTGTGTTGTGCATGTCAAGTCAACTGATTCACAGTAAGCCCAAGGACAGAGAATAAAAGGAAATTAATCCTACATGGTGGCTCTCAGGGCCATAGCCTCACTGGTTGTGTTTGACTGGTGATTTACAACAGGTGAACTTTGTCTTCACACTTCCCAGCATTTTAAGCCTGTTCTGGAGGCTGGGATTTGAAATGTGCCACCAACCAGGATCTGGTTCATTTGCTAGTTAACACTGTGGCCCAGTCTGTGTGTCTGAACAGAACCAAGTAAAACTTGTGTTCATTTATTGCCTCTCCAGCTGCCTGTGGGGGCTTCATCACCAAGCTCAATGGGACCATTACTAGCCCTGGATGGCCCAAGGAATATCCTACTAACAAAAACTGCGTGTGGCAGGTGGTAGCTCCAGCCCAGTACCGGATCTCTCTGCAGTTCGAAGTGTTTGAGCTGGAAGGCAATGATGTACGTAACCAGTCCCTGCATCTCAGAGGTGGGACTACTGGCTAAATCAGAACTGGATAAATCCTTGGGGTACAAGGAATAGGAGGCTCTGCCTTACTGGTGGAGCTTCTGGTTGTTTTCCCACCCTCAATAACAGTGCCTGTTCTCCTTGAAGTCTGGATTTGCTTTATCTGTAGAGTGGAAGGATTAAAGCTGTTCTGTTATAAGTGGGTGCAATGGTTTAAGCCAATCTGGCAACTAAGCACCACACAACTGCTCACTCACTTTCCCCCAGTGAAATGGGGGAGAGAATCAGAAAAGTAAAAGTGAGGGAAACTCATGGGTTGAGATAAAGGCAGTTTAACAGATAAAGCAAAAGCCACGCATGCAAACAAAGAAAAATGAGGAATTAGTTCACTCCTTCCCATGGGCAGGCAGGTGTTCAGCCATCCCCAGGAGAGCAGGGCTCCATCACATGTGATAGTTACTTGGGAAGACAATGTCACTCCAAGTAGCTCCCCTTCCTCCTTCTTCCCTCTACTTATGGTGTCCTCTGATATGGGATATCTCTTTGGTCAGTGAAGATCAGCTGTCCTGGCCGTGTCCTCTCCCAGCTCCCTGAGCACCCACAGCCTCCTCACTGGTGGAGCAGTACAAGAAGCAAAAAAAGATCTTGACTCAGCAATAACAAAACATCTTGATATTATCAACCCTTTTCTCAGCACAAATCCAAAATACAGCCCAGTACCAGTCACTAAGAAGAAAATTAAATCTACCCCAACCAAAACCAGCACAATGGGCTTATTTTCTCTACTAGTTTTGCATAATTGTAGGTTTATTCCATCCCTAATAGGTGTCCCACCTCATACCTTCCCAGTGCTGCTTTTGCAGGAAAATAGTTGGAAATGAACAATGAAATAGAGTTCTTCAAGGATAAAGGAAATAACAGGAAAAGAGTCTGTTCTCTGCACAGTGGAGTTTGAACAAAGCAATCAGGTCTGAGTTTCCCTACTGTAAATGGGAGCACTGGCACTTCCATAATTCAGGAGGCTGATTAAGTTCATTCAACTCTGTCAGGTTCTTGGATAAGATGGAAATAATTACTTTTGCTAAATTCAATGGAACCTTTCCTGTTCTGAAAAGCACATTCATGCTTTAAGATCAGGGCAGCAAGCAGAGGGGTGAGAAAACTGACAGAGGAAATTTTGGGCAAGTTAGGAGTGCATTTGAGTACGAGGCTGTTTCTGTTCCTTCTCAGTGAAACCTCTGTCCCCTTCCTCTGAAACGCTGTGTTCCAAGGCCACAGAGCTGAGAAGTCTCTTCCTCTCTTGGCAGGTCTGTAAATATGACTATGTTGAGGTTCGGAGTGAGCTGGCTTCTGATTCCAAGCTACATGGCAAATTCTGCGGCTCAGAGAAGCCCGAAGTGATCACGTCATATGGAAACAACATGAGACTGGAGTTCAAATCAGACAACACAGTCTCCAAGAAAGGCTTTAAAATTCACTACTTCTCTGGTATGTGACTGTATTCTTTCACTTGCTTAGCCGTCTCCTCTGACTGAACCTCTTGGTTTTAGTGAACTTTGTTCAACATCCTGTCAGAGCCTGACATGGTTCATTAAAATCTAAAAGCTTGGTTGCTCTGTTCTGTGTCACCTTCCTCTTGGGTTCTCAGTGCAGTGTATGGTCCAGTTTCACAGCGTGGTGTCAGGAAAATGCATGAGTTCCATCAATGCCTCCAGACTTTCTACAGCAGGAAGCAATGTGGAACCTAACCCTAGAAGTTATTTCTGTCCCTAGGAGTATTAAAGAAAAGTTTTTTCCTCTGAAACGAGATGATTTAGAAGATTTCCAGTGGTGTTCTGAATAGCAATCATTCCCACGAAAGCAGCATGTACTAGTGGAAGTTTTTAATCCTCTGTTCTCAATCTTCTGGAGGTTAACTGTATGTCATTTGAAAGTAGAAATTCAATTTTGTTCTGTCTTTTCAGCAGAGTCCTAGGAGTATTAATGCTTTTGAAGAGAATGATCAAGCAAAACAGCTTTGAACTAGGACAGGGGCAGAGTAGAATCAGGGCTAAGGGTTTGACTTATTAAATCTAAGAGGAGGAAGGATGAGATGGGTATGATTCATCTAGAAATACATTTGGGAGTGAGGAGACAGATGAAGTTAATGAGATCTAGAGAGGGCATTGTCCCAAGAAAAATTGGAGATAAACTTCTCATAAATTAAATTGGACTGAAAACCATGAGCAGATCCTATGCTCAGAAAGTAAGATTGAGGAATGCATGGTCCTGAACACACGGGAGTCAAGATCCACTGGGGCATATTTCAGCTTCAGAGAGCAGCTCAGACTTTAGATCTTCTTCATCACCTCACTGTTTGTGCTGAGGCAAAGCTATTTAGAAATGGAGGCTCATCAGAGCCCATAAAAACTTGAAAATATAAAGTAGATTTTTACTTTGGCTAGCGATTTTGTGTGATGCTTTTCCTGGACTTTATTCTTAAAGAATGAGATCTGCTGCTCTAGGTTTCTTTTAGACAGGAGTCTTTATAAAATTATAAAATAGAACACATTTGGGATGCATTTTATGGAATGTGAGACAGTTGAAGAGAATAGGATCTGGGCTAAAAAGCTGACTGGACTAATCCAGCAGTAGAATTGGAGGTTTGCATTGCTATCTGCCAGCCTGGGTGTGGGGCTCTCAGCTGGTGACTGTGGTAGCCTGTGTCACTGTCAATTCAGTGTTTGTTGGTTTGATCCTGCCCAGACAAGGACGAGTGCTCCAAAGACAATGGTGGTTGCCAGCACGAGTGTATCAACACCTTTGGGAGCTATATGTGCCAGTGCAGAAATGGCTTCATACTGCATGAAAACGGCCATGACTGTAAAGAAGGTAAAGTCCCCACTCCTGCCCTTGGCAAAGCCAAGGTACTTCAATTGAACACTGTTTGGTTCAGGGCACTTCCTGCCCTGTGCTGAAAGGAAGTTTGTACAGCATACCAGGCTGAAAGGGGCACTGAAAAAGTCCCAGCTGGCTGAAAAACTGGCTAGAAATAGGACCATTCCCATTCCCCAGTCTTCCTCTCTATATGCCCACAGGGGATGGAGAGGTTGGGGATGAGAAATAGGATTTGGAAAAGGAGCAATTTTGGGACATCATCATTAGACTGGTCACTGCTGCTTCATTTAATTATTGTGTTTGAGTCAGAAGAGTAAGGATGGGCTGATCTAACCACTTCCTGGTACCAAAACTACCTTTCTTCCTGCACCCCTATCCCTGCTGTGCTCCCATGACTTTCCTGTATATGGTCTCTGGTCCTTGTCTGACCTCTCCATGAGCTGATACAGCTCTCCAAATTGGCAAATCAATGCAAGGCTGAGATAGCACCAGAGTCAACACTGTAGAGGGCTAGACATCATGGCACTAGGAACAGGGCAGATGAGGTGAAGGAGCAGCAGAAATAGATTAGGATGTTGGGTTAGGTTAATGAGGCCCAGGGGAGTGAGATAGTCCATTTCACCATCTGCTGGATTAGCTCAAAGAAAGTATAGGACAAACCACCAGAACCGTGGAGTAATGCTAAAAAGGTCTTGTTTGGTGCTGAAGCCTTCCATGTCTGTGCCCTGTAGAGGGTCTCGGTGGGCAGGGAGGACCATGTAGGACACTGCAGGGTTACCATGTGAGACCTGCCCCAATGTGATTTCTCTCTCCCAAGCTGGTTGTGAGCACAAGCTGAGCAGTGCAGAGGGAATGATGAGCAGTCCCAACTGGCCTGACAAGTACCCCAGCCGGAAAGAGTGCACCTGGGACATCTCTGCAACACCTGGCCACCGGGTGAAAGTAGTGAGTAACCACTGAGGGGGCACGGGAGGCAAGGGGCAGGCTGGGTTGTGAGGAGCTGAAGTGATTTCCCACCACCACTGTGTGAGTGGGAGGCTGATGCCCTCAGGTCCTGCTTAGGGCTCTTGGAGGAGAGTTTCCTGGGAGACTGCCCTGGCTTGCAAAAGGGCAGAAGGTCTCAGAGGGATGACACAAGGCAGAGGAGAGGCAGCTCGGAGGAGATCCAGCAGATGATAACTGTGGAGTATTGCCCTCTGTAAACAGATGGCATAAATGCCCTCCCACCCTTAACCCTCCTTCTGAGCCACTCTGCTGGGGCCATCTCTACACAAAGTGGTGGCTGAGCCAGCCCCCAGCCCCTCTGAGCGAGAGGTGTCAGGCCCATTTTACATCATGGCCTGATGCAAATGGCAGGACATGCCCAAAGCTGTGCAGATGGCCCATGTATTGGGGGAAATAATCCCTGTGCTCAGTGGAAGTAGTATTGCAGAACAGCCCATCTGGTGTGCTGGGCAGAATTTCAATCCAGAAAAATAAGTGTTATAAGGCTTGCAGCTGATAACTGTAGTCATGCACCACCCATGTGAGGCAGCGAGGCTTAGGCAACACAGCACACTGATATGGAATTCTGATCTCTGCCATCCTGACATCACTCTGGTCTGAAATCACATTATTCTGTTTTAGTTTGTGGGGAGAGTGGGACCGATGTACCATTTGTTTCTCACTTGGCATTTCACCCTATGCTAAATTGCATACTCAGATTTACAGCTGTCTTAATTCTCCATATTCTTACTCTAGACCTTCAATGAGTTTGAGATTGAGCAGCACCAAGAATGTGCCTATGACCACTTAGAAATGTATGATGGGCCCAACAGCAAGTCACCTATCCTTGGCCGCTTCTGTGGCAGCAAGAAACCAGACCCTGTAGTGGCTTCTACCAACAAGATGTTCCTCAGGTTTTACTCTGATGCTTCTGTGCAAAGGAGAGGTTTCCAGGCAAAGTACAGCACAGGTAAGCTGGTTGCCTGCCAATACCCCAGTCCCAAAAGATGTCCATCAAGTTTCACTACGCTATTTACTAGGTATAAACAGACACACCTTTCTCCTAAATAAATTTAGCCTAAATTTTAAGTGGTGTGCATTCTGTTCCCAGACCGTTGCCAGTACCATACCACACATACCAGCTCCTATAACAGCTCAGAATTCTCTTGGTATTAGACATTCCTGTTCAGGCTCTTTTGTTTAAATTGGAAGTATTTGGTTGAGCAACAATCTATTTTGTTCCACATTAACCATTGGAAAAGGAGGTGATGCAATTTAGCCCACCCTCAGAACAGGCCCATGTTAGATTGATTACAGTAGAAGCAGAGCTTTGCTGTGGACAGACACAGCTTGAGCCTCCTGTCTGTGGCAGCACAGAGGTGTGTGTGTTGTGCCAACATTGATTTCTTTGAAATGCCTGCCACTGTAAATAAGTGGCTGTGCACATGGCACTGGTGAAGAAGAGTCTTCCTCACTGGCTATGGGAAAACTCTGCTAAAGCAGTTCTGCACAAAACGGGGCTACTTTTGTGCATTGTGTGGCCAGAAAAGGATTGTTTTGGTCCCCGGTTTTCTGATGTGTTTCCGCTTCCTGCTGACAAAATACTTGGGATCAGGATTTCATCTACAGGACAAGTGCAAACAAAGCAATTGCTTTCTAATACAATTTCCCAGAGTATGTGCCAAGAACCCTATTCTGCCAGTTTAAATCGATCACCTCTCTCCATATATGTTCTGTAGCAAAAAAACCAAGTTCCTCTTGCCCTGTGGGTCTTTAGGTTCGTGGGTGACTGCAGAATTCACTGGTTTATTGTAGTTTGGTGCAGTGTTTAATTACCTTCCCTACTGTACTTCAAACTGGAGGTCGTCTCTACTCATGGCTGACCCAAACATGGGATGAGTCTTTGTTGGGAATAAGGACTTGGAGAGACTGTTTTGTGTCTTTTTCTCCTTTCAGAGTGTGGCGGGCTCTTAAAAGCTGAAGTACAAGCTAAGGATCTGTATTCCCATGCTCAGTTTGGGGACAACAACTACCCAGGTCAAGCCAACTGTGAATGGGTGATTGTCGCTGAAGATGGTTATGGGGTGGAGCTAATATTCCAGATATTCGAGATAGAGGAGGAGGCTGACTGTGGGTACGACTACATGGAGATTTACGATGGTTACGACAGCACTGCACCCCGTCTGGGACGCTTCTGTGGCTCAGGGGTAAGCCATGGTAGTGGTGATTGCTGAGGGTGGCAAGGAAGTATCCTCATATTGTTTTTGGAGAGAGGCAGCTGTCACAAACTGATACTGAGAATGCTTTGTGGCTGGGTTTTGCTTCTTTCCCTTCTGCAGGACATCACAGCCATTTTATGTGATGTACAGTGTTGGCTGGAAAATTCTTGCCGACTGACTATCCTTTTAAGCCTGGGGCAGTGCACAGCAGCATGAAACTGCCACGATGCTGTGCCCCAGCCCTGCATGAAAGTGTTGTGTAAATGTGGGTAATGGCTTCCAAAGGCCAGTTTCATCCTCTGTTGCTTCCTGGCTCAGGCCAAGTTATGTTGTGGCCGTGCTATGGCAAGGGTGAACAATGGAGGGACTTCGAGCTGTGTGCTGCCTTTAGGATGGCATGCTGTCTCCTAAATTGTCACCTGCATCCCCATTACCAGGAGTGATTCTAGCATGAGTAAAGGTGAGTGGTTTTTGAAATCAGAAGGTCTGTGTTTGATTTCTCTAGGCCTTCAGCAATGAAACTGAGATGTTTCTTATTGAATGTAAAGAGAGACAATCAGGGAGCAGGTGTGTGAAAAAAGTTCTCACAAATTGTGGAAATTGTTTGGAAAATAAACAAAGGCATAGCAGCTTGGTGTGAAGAAGCTCAGGGCAGCTGGGTAGTAATCTACCTACCTGCACACTGACAAATGTAGAATGGCTGGGAAAGGGAAGCACAAGGAGATTGCAGCAGGTCATAACAGTGTTGGACATAACCAGAATTGTCATGTAAGATAAGTACCTGAGTTATTTGAACCCTGGGAGAGCCTCAGTTGCCAAACAGGTTCCAGTTTGTATTGTCTCATCTCCTGAAAAGACAATGACAAATTAGACTAAACCTGAAGATTGGAACAAGAATATTCAGGGAGGCCTGTGAAAAAAGTAACTGGAAGAACTGGGATTGTAGAGTGGACTGGCACCAGTCTTCAAACATAAAGAGCAAAGGAATATGCTTAGGAAGGCAGATCAGGGCAGGAGGTACTGAGCATTCAAGTCTTCATGTTGACTGGCCAGTCTGTCTTCACTGTGGGCTTAACCCTAGTAGCATGGTGCAGTTATTTAGTCTGCATACTTGACCACTGTGTACTGTCTTCTTTCCTTTTCTGCAGCCTCTGGAAGAAATCTACTCTGCAGGGGATTCCATTATGATTCGATTCCATACAGATGACACCATCAACAAGAAAGGATTTCATGCCCGATACATAAGTACCAAATTTCAGGATGCATTGCACATGAGAAAATAGTTTGACTGCTCCTCACAGATATTCTCCATCTGAAGATTGAGACATTTAGCTGTGATCTTTGTCCTTTTTTTTTTTTAAAGCTTCTGTGCACTTGGCCAAAAGCAGTGTACAGTATTTTCTGTAACTAAAACTAAATCCAGTCTCAAAGGTTTGCCTCTGCAATTATTAGCATGACCCTTTCTTGTTAACCTACCCAGGACCAAAAAAATTGTCTTTTAATCATACCTTCCAGGGCATAAACATTGTATTTTGCACAACTTGCCATGGGGCTGAATGAAGACTGAACTTGAACTGAGAATAGCCTTTGTCTCTTGTATACCTTGTTTCTAGGTGACATTTCCCAAGCGTCCACATGAGCTGTCTGAACGTGTTTTCTGGAGCAGGCTTTTTGGACAGACAACCAGTAGGATTTTTCAAAGGACTTTGTGAGCCACCCGCTCTCCCCTACCTGCCCCAACTACTCTGTGCAATAAGAGAACAACCAGGTGGCTGTGCCTGCATCACTCTTTCTGTCCTCTCTGTTATTGTCTTGCTTCTTGTTGAGCGGAGAGCAAGGCAGGGGACAGTCTCTTTAGGGCTCCTAGCTACTTGGATTCCAGGGAATGAGAAGGACCCAGGGTTTGGTTTGTAGTAAGTGTCATGGTATATGTTGAACGGAAGTATTTCAATGCAGAGTGCCCAAGGGAAGGGTGGTGGCTGACACGGAAATCCCGTGTTGGGATGCAAGGCATTACTGTGTGATGGTGGCAAAGCTTAGTGACAGGAGTGCTGACAGCGTGCTCCAGTTACACCACTGTGCAAAGCAGCTCAGGAGGCTGTGGCAGCAGTCCAGGCCCTGTCTTAAATATGGAATGTCTCTTTCTCACTCCACCCATGCCTGCTTTCTCAGCCTTCTTTATGCTGCTTCCTTTCCTTACTTCCACTTCCCTGTGAGCCCTTTTCACAGCTGAGCTGCTCTCCCCAGGACTCCCTACCAAACCTAGGAGTGCTCTGTGACTTCAGTGGCCAGGACATCTCACTGAAGGAAATGCAGGGGGAGTCAGGGTGTCCCTGAGGCAGAGGGACACAGGCCATGCTACAGCTTTGGTGATCTCTGGGAACCTGTCAAACGTGTGCAAGCTGCAGGCATGGTGCTAGGAATGGAAGAGTTCTTCTGGTTTCTTCTTCCTCCCCGTTTGTCACTGGTGCATGGCCCAGTCTCTTAACTTCATGGCAAGGGTGCAAGTGAGATGGTGACTGACTTCGAGTGCTCAGACATGTCCTTGTTTGCTCATGAAAGCTACCCAGCCACAGGCTTGAAGAATTAACAGGTAGCTTGGTGCTTCTTTCAGAAAAAAATAAGGAAAAGTGTGTTTTAGGGGAACCACTGTAACTGAGCAGTTGACATGGGAGGAAAAAAATACTTTATTCTGAATGTTTAATTAAGGCACTCATGGGCAATTATGAGCTAAAAGCTGAGGTATGTTAGCTTTAATAAAGTATTTATAATCCAAGGATTACTATGTTTACATAACTATTGTGCTGTCAGGCTTTGGAGTGGCACCTCCTCTCTTGTGCAGACTGTGTGACTGTGGAGAAGTGTGGGGCCAGTGCCACTGTCCAGCACAAACAACATTCCTGGAGATAAGGGCATTTTCAGGTGGGTAATAAATAGACCCAGCCCTCTCCAGAAATCCTTGAATAGGTTATGGTCCAAGTATTGTGAATACTAGGAGAAGCAAATGCATGAAAATATTTTCTTGCTTAGAACAAGAAAAGTAAAGTAATTTATACACACACAGAGAGGATTATATGTATATAAAATGTGCATGTAGAAGACGAGTAGTCAAAGCCTTAATAAGTGTAATGTTAACAATTCTGTACCATTGACTATAGCTTTATTGCAGGCTGTATAAAATCTTGTTATCTCTGTTTTGGTTTGGGGTTTTTTTTATTTGTTTTGTTTTAGCTCTGCTTTTGTTTCTTTTTTTTCAAATTTTGTGGCCTTTTTGCAGGCAAGACCTTTGATCTCAATCTGTTTGACCATGCAAGTCTGGAGAAGTGAGCTCTGCTAGATGGGATGTGTGTTTGTCCTTCTCTTCCTTGCTGCAGTTCAAGCAAAATTGCAGTGACTCAGGTCTGGAAATAAAAGCATGGCATCAGTCACTGTGAAACAGAAGCAAAGTTTCAGGTGGCAGGCAGCAGTTCAAGTTTCCTGACCTTTTCGTGGCAGCAATGGCTCTAGGGAAAAGTTACTGTGGCAGGTTCCCATGTACTTTTAATATCTTTGTTCCACCTTCTGGTAATTTCCCATCCATCCCAGACTGGTTTGATGCAGATGCTTGCAATGTGGTTTGACATATCTACTACACTTGTTAGTGCTCGTCCAGGTGTCTTTTGTGACAGTGTGTTCACAAATGTTATACTGTGCATTCCAACCAATGATCTATGTAGAATATTTCTGCTGTACTGACTGGACTTAACAGTCAATAATTCTAAATGAGTGAAATTTTCTTAAGAAAAAAAAAGTCAAACCCTCTGGTGTGTGAATATGTATTCTGGTCTTTGTGTGGTTTTACATTTCACTAACTAAAATAATTTTTAGAGGGGGACAAGAAGAGGGTGTGGGGACAATCACAGATGTACCTGTGCCCAGAGCAAATCTCTGCATTCATTAAAGACTGTGGATTCAGTTGCACATTCTGTTGTATGCATACATTTTCCACTTCCTCAAGGGGAGGAAATTTCTTATTACATTCCATGTTCTGCCAACTGTTGTTTGTGTGTACTGCTAATACCAGGAAGGAACTTTCCTGTGGGCCTTTAGGTTTGTATTGGCTGTTGCAATCCAGGGAGCATTTGGAAAGTGGGGAAGAGAGACAAGTTGGCCAGCCTAAGAGCTACATTGTTCCATGTGCTGCTCACGCTTCAGAGGGCTGAGATGCAGGTCTGCAGTGATCAGTATCAGAGATCTGGGAATCAGTCCTTAAGTATATTTCAAAGGACTAGCTCATTTGCTGCACTGCAGGCTATGGCCTTCAGCAGTGGGTCCCAAAGACCCAGAGATATGAAACTCCTGTGTGAAGGACAGCAGGACAAGGAAAATGTTCCTTACTACAAAATTTTAGTCCACTTTCTGTGGCAGCACCTAAAATGCTTTTCTTCCTCTTTCTGCCCACTGCTTGATGTCTACCCTGCTTGCTAAGGACCATGTCTGTGTTCTTTCCCCAACACACACCTGATTCATTTATGTCCCATCACCCTGAATAGTTCCTGTGGTGTGTGTCAGAGCTACCCAAACCTCCATGGTATCTGAATTTCCTCCCAGCTGTTGCCAAAGGCAAAGCAGCAATGGAGAGGAAGTAAGGAATAAGCATCCCCATGTAGCCTCCTGCACCACAGTACCGTGGCACAGTATGACCCAGTGGCATGACTTACTTCAGACAGAAAATGATGCCTCAGACCAGACAGGCTCATTGGGCTCAGCATCAAGCCAGTGGAAATCTTCAACTTTGTCGTGGCATTTCCAGCAAATGCTCTGGCAGATGAGATGGTAGCCTTAGAAAGCAAAAGCAGGATTCCCCTCTGTGCCTCATTTGAAGTGCATTCTTAGTGCTAGAAGCTGCCTTGTGTGCCATGCAGCTGGTAGAGAAGAGAAGGAGGCTCCAGTGCCCTGGAGCCCAGCTTCCCAGGTATATGCCAGAGCCTGGATGTGCTGGGACACAGCCAGTTTGTCTGAGTCAGCCCAAGAGAAATGCCATCATCTCTTCCTCTTTGCAGGTCCTGCATGTATTAGCAGGAAGAGAAGCTTATCCTAAAATGAGCACTGACCCTGACATTGGGCAATCTGCTGTTACTGCATGCAGGGATTTTTCATGGAGAAGCATGAAATTATGAGTGGGAGTAGGGGGGGAGGTCAGAGGCCACTGGACCACCTGTCTATTGGCTGAAAAGCTCCCTGGGGCTGTTTAACCCTCCTGTTCTCTGCCCCAACCACATCAATCAAACTCACTCCTTTCTTAGCTCTGCCGTTCCTTACAGTGGAAGAGATGATTTCAGATACCTGGTAGGATTTTAGCATCTTCCCCCTGCCTTTCTGTCCTGGAGGTATTGTCTGGTCTTAGGGCAGTTGGAGCAAAGAGGAGGTTGGTGCTCTCTGCCAGGTCATTCTTATGGACAGGTGTCAAGAGGACCCTGTCATTGTTCCAAATGAAAGACCATTTTTGCATCCAGCTTAGGATATGTTGAATATTATCCCAAATGTTATCCCCTGTGTGGTTATTTATCCCCTGAGCATGTCCTGTGTTCTGGAGCTGTTTAGTAAGAGGATATTTTCTCACTGCCCTGTGCTTCTCATGCAGTTGTTTGTGAATTATTGATAGATGTTGTTTGTCATGGTTTTGTTCATGATCTCAGATGAATCAACATCAGCAGGAAGGACATGAATATGAATCATCCCCTCCAAGACCTCCAGATGTGAGCCATTTTTTAACTTGTTCTCAACAAAGTGTGCATGCTGCTGAGTTTACATACATGACTGGCTCTGAGGGCAGCCTTAGACTGATGAAAACCTCATCTCCTCCCCATTGTGCCTGGGTCTCACACACGACTGCTGTTTCTGCTTGCATGTCTGTCCATTTGATGCAATCCCAGATGCACAGCCAGCAATGGTTTGCCATTGTTTTAGAGTACACAAGCATCAGAGCCTCTAGCCTTCACAGGAAAAAATGGGGGGACAAGGAGGGATGGACCTGAGATGTGGGCAAATAGGATATTTCTGTCAAAATAATGCTAAACATTTCCAAAGGTGGTGGGAATTCTTGCACACTGTTTTCTGTGCAGTACTCACATGGTCTCTCAGTGCCTTGTGACAACCAATCACAGAAATTACATTTTGCCACTAGGACTTTTATATGACCATGATGCAGAGGACAACAAGTATCTATGTACATGAAGGTCAAGGCAAACACAAAAAACTGAACATCCAAACACAACCAAAGGCCACAGGAAAAAAGAAGCCCAGAAGAAAGTCGTCTGTGGTGGAATATTTTTACTAAAACTAACCAGTCTCTTACTTAAAGAAGGGCACCAAATTGTAGCTGGGGGCAGGAATAAGAGACACTAGCCTTTTCCTAAATTAACTCATTTTAATAAAGAACATCTAAAGCCCTGCAGTGCTACTGATGGTAGAAAAAGAGCTGCCAGAGAGTTGGTTGCAGTCTCCAATGCTCAGGTAAGTGATGTCCTTGCAACGGCCTGCAAAAAGCATGAATGCATTCTTTTCATTTGGCAGACAGGCTGCAGGACACCCTTCCCCTC